GAAGAGCGGGAAGGGCTTGTAGAAATCACCTCATCTTCAGCCTACAGATGAGGAAACTGAGACCTAGGACTAAGGAAACAGCAGGTAGGAGAACCTGGTATCTTGACTCTCAAGCCAGGAACTTTGGAAAATGAGCTGGAGACCAGAAAGGGAACAGGATGAGTGGGGAGGAGGGATGAATAAGGGAGAAAAAGGTCTACTGATTTGGGCCTGGGAACTGAGGCCTCCACCCATTTTACAGACCCTAAGACAGTGGTCGCAAACTGGTATCTCCGGGGCCAGCAGGATCTTTGTGTGGCCCATCAAGCTGTGGCGTTTTACTTGGCTGCCATCTATAGTGCTTTACACCTGGGCTGCTTCAGGCATTTCTGTTACCTGCTATGCTTCTGTAAGACATCTGAATTTGTGAACCTCAGCTAGTGAAGGAGACCCACCTCCTTTTGGCCGCTGGGGAGGAACTGGGCTCAAAGATCAGCTTCTTCGTCCTTCTCATTTATGCAGGGGATGACCACAGTCATTGGCGTTATGGAGGTGAGACACCCACCCCCTGCAGAGACCCAATCTGGGCACCCAGCTCTGCTAATGCCTGCACCCCCCGCCCTCTTCCCCCGCATCCACGTCTGCCAGTCCCTGACACCACCCGCTGCCTCTCTCCCTCCACATCCCTTATTTCTATCTCCCGTCCGGATGCCTCCTGACTCGACCCCATCGCCTTTTCTACTCAGCTTCCCTAAAAGTTCCTGATCTTGTCATCAAACTTCCTGTACGTACTCTCCCACTTCCAGGCGCTCCGCCATGGCCCCAGGTGTCCCCCGCCTGCGCTGGCCGTTTTCAGTCCCCGGTAGATATCCGTCCAGAGCTCACCGCGTTTTGCCCAGCCCTGCGACCCTTGGAACTCCTTGGCTTTGAGCTCCCGCCACAACCAGAACTGCGCCTGCGCAACAATGGCCACACCGGTGAGGCGGTCTCGGGGCGGAGCCTCGGGGAAGGGGCGGAGGCTATCTGGGAATGAGGGACTGTCCCTGGGAGTTAGGCTCGCTCTCTCCGGAGAGAGGGGCGGGCCCGGCTCACCTGCCTCTCACCACGCAGTGCAGCTGAGTCTGCCTCCCGGGCTGGAGATGGCCCTAGGTCCCGGGCAGGAGTACCGGGCCCTGCAGTTGCATCTGCACTGGGGGGCTGCGGGTCGCCCGGGCTCGGAGCACACGGTTGGCGGTCACCGTTTCCCTGCCGAGGTGAGCGCGCAGCTGTCCGCGGAGGGTCGAAGTGGGGCGCGGGGTAGGGGATCTCGCCCACTCCTACCGTGTCCTCTCCAGATCCATGTGGTTCACCTCAGCACTGCATTTGCCAAAGCTGACGAGGCCTTGGGGCGCCCGGGGGGCTTGGCCGTGCTGGCTGCCTTTCTGCAGGTACCAGCCCTGGAAACCCCCCACCCATGCTTCCCCAGCCCTCGGGCTCAGAGTATCTTGCCCCAGAGACCACACCCCGCACCTGGCTATCATCTTCATTTACTCATTAGTTCTTTCATTAACACCCACTGTGAGCTGGGCCCCAACAAAAGATTCCGAAACTGTGGATCCTTGTCTCCCCACAGCCAGTGAGGGAGGCTGACAGGATAGACATATACACAGGACACAGAGTCAACAAGGTAGTCAGGGAAGGCCTCACAGAGGAGGTGAAACTTGAAGCCTTCACTAGTGGGAAAGAAAAGGAGATATTCCATGCAGAGCGAACGGTACATGTAAAGACTCAGAATATGGCCCATTCGGGGAATGGCAGATGCAGTAGAATGGACATAAGGAAGAGTCATTTCCCTAATACTCTTATAACCCATAATTTCCCCTTTGCGAAATGCAATATTGTCTAGAGAAGCATTTAGTGACCTCTTTGGACCTATACTGATCAGGAGTACATACATAATGATTAGAGGAGGCTAGTAGGTTGGAGGGATGGTGAGACACCTGTGGATGGTGAAACACCTGTTAGGCTCACTCCCTCCCTGACTCATGGACGCCAGCCTCACAGCACAAAGTTCAGAGAAGCACCTTGGAAACAGCATGTCCTGGCTCCAAAACTCAAATACATGAATTATTAAGGTGAATGCAGAGCTAACATGAATACAAAGGTTATTGGGGTTTTCTGTGGTGGGGACATAGAATGTGTGTGGAGTTAATGATGAGTGAGATTGGAAAAGTAAGTAGAGCCCATCACTGAGAACCTTGTATCCTAGTAAAGTGACCCACCATCCTCCTCTTCCTCCAATTTGCCATTGAAAACTAGTCTGCCTAGTTACGTCAGTTTGCAAAGTAGGAGTATATCGACCTTGAGTAATAATACATGAGATATTGTGTTCCCCCAGCTTTCTCAGAGCTGGGAACTGGGGGAGGACTATGGGAACCCACCTCACCTTCAGGCCTCCAGCCATGACCCTAAATACATGTATGAATCTATCTTGCACTATCATCTCCTAGGAAGGCCCCGAAGAAAACAGCGCCTACGAGCAGTTGCTGTCACATTTGGGAGAAATCGCCGAGGAAGGTCAGTTTGTTGGTTTGGCCACTACCCTTGATACCCTTGTTCATAAAGAACCGCCCTTGGGGAGCCTCAGGTCTGAGGATGGGGAAGGGCTCCCTCCCACACAGAGGAGTTGAAATGTGAACTGGCCTACCGTGACCTTGATAATAACTATGAAGCCGAACACGGGCAAACAGGCAAAGGCAAACTGCTGGCTACCGGCTTTATGTTTAAAAACCAAACAGAAACTAAGATAAGACAAAAACCAAATAAGACCAAAAAAATAGTGTTTGGAACTTTCAGGGGTTGAGTCTAAAATTTTTCTGAGAGATGTCTATTACTCCTTCATAAGCATCAAATATTTTAAATTTGTAAATACTTTTGTTGGAAATCTTTCTTTCCTTCTCAGTCACTCTAGGTCATTTTAAACCTCACTTGCCCAACTGGACCTTAAGTTTTGCTAAACTAGAGAGAACTGTGTGTTTTTGAGTTTTGTGTCTGTTTTTAAAGTTATAGGTATTTATTTACAAGTTATTCAACTCATTTTCTCTTTTGATTTACTCTGGGCTTAAATCTGCATTCCAGCGTGTTATCACAGTGTGCAAAGTAAGAGTGAAGACTCAGAGGGAGGGCCGGGGGAGCAATTCTCTCACTCTGTGTGCCCCAAAGCCTTTTACTTCCTTCTGAGTCATGTCTTGTTGTGCTGAGTTATGGGAAGGGATACACTCAGTGAAGAAGTGGTTTCGGGGAGTTGAGTCAGCTTGGCTTCTGGGAGATAAAAATATATTCCTGTACCCCAAAGCTTTGTGGTGTGTATGGCGGGGGGGGGGGGGGGGTCAATCTATGTGGAACTCCAGCACAGGCCCTCTCCACAGACTCTGAGACTTGGGTCCCAGGACTGGATGTATCTGCACTGCTGCCCTCTGACCTCAGCCGCTACTTCCGATATGAGGGGTCTCTCACCACACCCCCCTGTGCCCAGGGAGTCATCTGGACTGTGTTCAACCAGACAGTAAAGCTGAGTGCTAAGCAGGTGGGGCTGGGGTGTGGTGGTGACATAGGGGATGAGGGGGAAAGGGATGTAGGTGGAGGTGAGAAAGAGGAGGCATAAAGAGATGAAGTGGCCGTGTTGGGGATGAGGGGGACGTGGACAGTGGGTCCCTGAGGTGCTGGCTGTAAGCCTGTGACCCTTTTGCTTCTGTGTCATGAGCCCACCCCCACTGTCTGCTGACCTCCCTAGCTCCACACCCTCTCTGACTCCCTGTGGGGACCCGATGACTCTCGGCTACAGCTGAACTTCCGAGCTACACAGCCTTTGAATGGGCGAATAATTGAGGCCTCCTTCCTTGCTGGAGTGGACAGCAGCCCTGGGACCGTTGAGCCAGGTGCAGCTTTGTCTACTGATGCCATGCCCCCTGCCCCCAGCCACAGGTCCCTCATCCTCCCCATGTGTCCTCATTTGTCTGTCACTGGTGATCACACCCCTGGCTCTAATGTCTCCTTTTTCTCCTCAGTCCACCTGAATTCCTGTCTCGCTGCTGGTGAGTCTGTGCCCCTCCTCTGGTTCCTGAGGCTGGGGGCATCCCTTGGCACCGTTCAGCCTCAGGGGCTAGTCAGGACCACCACTGCTACCTCTCCGTTTCTGCAGAACACACTCCAACCCCAATAGGATAGCGTCAGATCAAGGCAGGGGGGTTCCCCTGTTGTCCCCAGTGCAAGAGTTGGTCAGAATGAAGCTCCAGAAATCTGCTTGCATCCTCCTTCCCAAACAACCTCTTTGGTTTTGTTTTTAGAGAGGAAAAAAGTGCTTATCTTACCCCTTCTTGTGTATCCACCCCCATCCCTTTGCTGGCCTCTGCTGGATTCAGAGACGCTGGGGGCAGCTGGAGAACTTGGGGCAGGGGTGGGGTTCAGGTGGAAGAGGCTCTGAGGGAACCCTACAGACTCCTCTTCACTCCCTGAGGCAGTCTCTCTCCTCCTCCCTCCAGGAGACATCCTGGCCTTGGTTTTTGGCCTTCTCTTTGCTGTCACCAGCATCGCCTTCCTTGTGCAAATGAGAAGGCAGCAAAGGTATTTTACTAACCCTCTCCCTTAAGCCCAGCCCCTGCTGCCCAAGTGGAGTCCAGAACAGCTTCATGCAAATTGCATGCAAATGAGCTCATCCTTGGTGAGATTTCTGATTAGGGTTCCCTGTTGTGTAGACACCCAAGTGGGACCAAAGGAAGTGTCAGGTACCACCCGGCAGAGGTCACGGAGACTGTTGCCTAGAGGCCTGCAACTTGGAGAATGTGCAGAGAAGCTGGCCAGAGGAATCTGAGGGGGAGCTGGAGATTTTGTCCTGCCCATTACACTGCTTCCTTTGAAGCCTCCAAAGATATATTTTTTTAAATAAATATTTCTAATAAAATCTGTGGGAGGCGTATCCTTGTGCCCCAAATCAACAGGATGGTGTGTTCATTTCCTATTGCTGCTGTAACAAATTACCACAAACAGTGGTAACGGAAACTTATTCTCTTAAGAGTTCTAGAGGTCAGATGTTCAAAATGAATCTTATGGGCTAAAGTCAAGGTGTTGGCAGGGCTGGTTCCTTCTGGACACTCCTGAGGAGAGGATATTTTCTTGCCTTTTTCAGCTTCTAGAAGCCAAGCATTCCTTGGCTTGTGGCCCCTTCCTTGCATCACTCCAATCTCTTGCTTCCATTGTCACATCTCCTACAACTGCTTTTAACCTTCTTGCCACCCTCTCATAAGGACCCTTGTGATTATGTTGGGCCTACCCAGTTAACCTAGGATAACCTCCCCATCTCAAAATCCTTAGCTTAACTGAAGTCCCCTTCCCACGTAAGGTAACATTTCACAGGATTAGGGTATGGACATCTTTGGTGGGGGGACATGATTCTGCCTCATGTAGATGTTATCAGGAAGCAGGGAGAAACGACCAATATTGTTGGAATGACTGTGTGTGTGTGTGTGTGTGTGTGTGTGTGTGTGTGTGTGTGTGGGCAAGCTTGGTCTCTAGGCTTAAAATCACACTGAGGCTTTTGGGTTTTCACCCTGCTCAAGTAAAACCTATGTAGCTTTGCAGTTTTGCCTTCCAGTCGTGCTGTCCGGCCCAGCCGCTTGCTGGAATGGGGCAGTGCCGCTGATAGCAGCTCCTTTGCTCTGTGGGGAGTAAGGGCCAGATGTTCCCCCAGCCCTGCCAGGCTTCTCTGCTTCACACAGCCTGTTCATAACCCCTCCTCAGGGAGCCCAGTGCCCCACCCCTCTGGCTCACTCAGGGGTCCTTCCAACTCCACTCTTCCCCTGGGGCATCCTCTCTACCTTCTCCACTTTGGAAAACCACCACCACCATCCCCAACACCCAAGAAAGGCTTAAAGGGCCCCGTGATACTGGTAACATCAGTTTTATTCGGTGGCAACTACAGCCTGGCTGGGGGCAGGGCCAGCCCTCACAGGTTGTTGAGCTCCAGCAGGGTCTGGTCGAGGGTCTGGTGGATCTCCACGTTCTCCTCCTTGGCACTGGCCAAGGTCTCTGTGAGGGGAAGCAACCCGTGAGGTTGGTGGGGGAGAAACATGGGGAGGCATGGACGGGGATGTGACAAATAGACACGGAGTGGGTTGGAGGCACGGGAAGACCCAAACATTCAGGGATCTGAGGACCCTGTGGGTGGGACAAATGGATGGACTGAACAAGGCAGACAGGGATGCCTCACTCAAGGCTTTGGGGCCATGGAGGTGGGATGGGAAGGCCTGAATCATAAACTAATTTACCCTCCTTCTTTAAAAGGTTGAAGAGAGTTGGAAGCAGGAGGAAACACAAAGACGGAGCCAGGAAAGGGAGTGACAGACAGACAGACAGACAGACAGACTTGAGGCAGAAAACAGACCTGCAGGGAAAGCCCCATGGTGCTGCCATCCAGTGTCTTTCCAAACTTCATCCCAGACCATTCACAACCTTCTCGCCCCTCCCCTGCACCTCACCATTCCCCTTCCCTTCCAGTCATTCTTTTAGATCCTGTAATTACAGCTTGAACGCTCCAAGGGCAGTGACATGCCTGGGTCTGTGGAAGGGCGTGTGTCTCAGAAGCACCAGAGGGCCCGTGGTTGACTGACGTGGTCATTCGTGCCCACATGCAGCAGTGAGAGTCATGCAGAGGGGGTTCCGGTGTGGGCCACAGTGTTTTGTGGGTGAGATCAGTAGGGGAGGGGGGGGTCACAAGATCAGGGGTGCCCATAGGAGCCAGGGTCTCAGCAGTGAACCAGTGCTCTGTGGGGGTGATGGAAGTGCTCTCTGGAGGGCAGGAAAACAGCGTGGAGACCAAGTTGAGTTTATTAAGCAGCAGAGAGCGGGAGAGGCTGGTGGGTAGAGGGAGGAGTGGATGGATATAGAAGGATGAAGCAAATGCCAGGGTGGGCAGCAGCTGTGACGGGGGCTCTCCTAGGCTGCGTCCAGCCTGGCTGTGCAATGTTGGCAGTTTCTGCTCCTCCTGCTTGCCCCCCTCCCCATACAGAGAATGGAAAGGAGAAGAGAGAAGGGGCGGTGGGCCACACTGGTGAGAGGCTCAGAGGGAGGTGATGTCGTTGAGTGCGTTGTCCAGCTCCTCGCTGATGGCCTTGTACTTCATCTTCTGTGCATAGACTTCGTCTGGGGGGGTCCGGGAGGGGGGCCAGGTGGGAGTGTGGGGAGAGGGAATGGAGGGAAAGA